GCGGGGCGTCGGGAAAGGCGGCGTGCCGCCATGTCTACGCTCCGCACTGCTTGCCGAGCTCCGCTTCCGGGGGCGCCGCGGCCTCGCGGGGCCCCGGGCCCGGCTGAAGCTGGGTGGGCGGGCAGATATGATGATGTGGCAGACGCTGTAATGGCGGGCGCCGCGGGGAGAGGGGAGCCGCCTTATGTAACTCGCGGGCCGGGAGTTTGAGTTCGGTTTTCTGTCGGGAGCGGTATGCAGCAAAGAAATGGGGAAAGTAGGGGCTTTAGAAGCGCTCTCTTTGCGCTCTGTAATCTTGGGCCTGGTTCCCTTGTCCTTCCGTATCCTAGTTGTGAACACCTGACTCCGGAGCCATGAAGTGGAGGGCTTGAGCCTGTTAGGGTTGCGCAAGCCTCCCACCCGACCGGGGGTGGCACATTTAGTGGGGGGATGGTTCCGTCTGCCCCCCCCACCAAGCGAGAGAGGTGACCTTGGGTGTTAAAGAAGCCCTTCGGTCGGAAACCTTGGGAATATACGATTGGGAATACGGAGCGGTTTTGGGAGCTTAGATCTATGATGACCCTCGTGACACCCCAGTATTTGTACTCAGCCTGAAGGAAATCTGTTGTCACTTTTTGAGACCTACTCCCCAGTTCTTCTGCTTTGTCTCTTGAGTGACAAGTAGGATCCTGCTTTTCAGGGACGGGATGAGTTGCATTTTTAAAGGAATGTCAAGAAACGGGATGGTGTGTTTGAGGGGTGGTGGGGTGGCCCCAGGACCAGACCCCATTCGCAGTGGCGTAGCAGTCTCTTGACCAAAGTCTCCCTGCCAGCCCCATTCCTGGAGTGCGCAGTCTTGAGTCTCCCCTTCCGCTGCCCCCAGGTGAACTTCACAGTAGACCAGATCCGGGCCATCATGGACAAGAAGGCCAACATCCGGAACATGTCTGTCATCGCCCACGTGGACCATGGCAAGTCCACTCTGACAGACTCCCTGGTGTGCAAGGCGGGCATCATCGCCTCCGCCAGGGCTGGGGAGACCCGCTTCACTGACACCCGGAAGGATGAGCAGGAGCGTTGCATCACCATCAAGTCAACGTGAGCAAACCCTGCTGCCCTCTGGCCGGGGAGGGGTCAGGGAGGGAAGGTGCTTGCCACGCACCAGATGGTGGGTAGGAAGGACAGACAGTAGATGCCATCGCTTTCCTGAGAGACTTCTGGGCAGACAGAGCACTTCGGTTGAACTGAGAGGAACAGTGAGGCATCTAGTGAGATAGGATGTGTTCCTTCCAGCAGGAGAGCACAGTGATGGATGGTGTTAAGGGGTTTTGGAGAGAAAGGGGGCCAAGGGGCTCTTGGCAGTGTCTGGAGAGTCTAGGAGAGGGCCACTGGCATCTGAGAATAATGCTTGCTAAGAATCCTGCTCTGCACTTGGCAGCCACCTGAATTTTCTGGCCCCAGAGGTCAATAGGGTGAGAATCCGAGAAAAGTTGACTACCAAATGTCTCCCTTTGGCAACTTTTCCTTGGTTATTGCTCTGAAATACCACCTGGGCTTGCAGGGGGAGGGAAGGGTGAAAGGTAGTCTTTGGGGTTTCTAGGTCTTGCCTGATGGTGTAGTTGCTCTTTAAATCAGGTGTGTTGAACCTGGGAGGACTTCGGTACCTTTACACCTGGTACCAGGGAGGTAGGTGTTCCTGGCTGAGGGAGCTGCAGAGGTGATGGTTCCTGCATGGGAATTCTGAAGTTCATCTCTGGGGATGAGTAATACCGGGGGAGGAGACAGGTTGTAGTGTCTCCCTGGCTTCTTACTGGATCACCACTTCACTTACAGATAAAGAGCTTTAGCCATGGCTCTCAGTAGGAACCTGAGTGACCCCAAGAGTTCTGGGGAACAAAGTTTAAGAGCTAGGTTGAGGTGTGGCTTCATCTACCTGACCTGTCCCAATCCCTTCAGGGCCATCTCCCTCTTCTATGAGCTCTCAGAGAACGACTTGAATTTTATCAAGCAGAGCAAGGATGGCTCTGGCTTCCTCATTAACCTCATTGACTCCCCGGGGCATGTGGACTTCTCCTCAGAGGTGACAGCTGCCCTCCGTGTCACTGATGGTGCCTTGGTGGTGGTGGACTGTGTGTCAGGTAACCTGTGGGTGGCCCTTACAGGTGGCCTGGGACCTGGGGCTGTTCCCTCTCTGGCCAGTGGCGACCTGTCCCCTGCCCGTCCACAGGTGTGTGCGTGCAGACAGAGACGGTGCTGCGCCAGGCCATTGCCGAGCGCATCAAACCTGTGCTAATGATGAACAAGATGGACCGGGCCCTGCTTGAGCTGCAGCTGGAGCCTGAGGAGCTCTACCAGACCTTCCAGCGCATCGTGGAGAACGTCAACGTCATCATTTCCACCTATGGGGAGGGCGAGAGTGGCCCCATGGGCAACATCATGGTAGGGGCGCTGCCTCCCCTGCTGCATTCCCAGTACCCCCCTCCTGCTTCTCCCCTGAGGAACCACTGTTGTGTGGCCTCCTGGGGTTTTTTCAGAGATCCGAAAGCAGGGTTGCCAGAAACTTTGGAGAGACAAGGGGGCTGGACTTGGAAGGCTCTGGGCAGTGGGTCACCCTTGCTCAGAAGTACATGGGGCAGTGCCCTTGGGGAGGGGGGTGGAGGCAGAGTTGGGCATCCTGTGTGTGATGACTAAAAATTTCTTCACTTTGACCTGATGGCTAACTGAAGAAATCAAACGTCTGAGGCCCAAGATGCCCAGGGACTCTGAAGCTATGGTTTTTCTGTCCAATTGTCCCTACTCAAAGCTTTCTTGTTTCTTAGATTGACCCTGTCCTTGGTACTGTTGGCTTCGGGTCTGGTCTCCATGGTTGGGCCTTCACCCTGAAGCAGTTTGCCGAGATGTATGTGGCCAAGTTTGCCGCCAAGGGTGAGGGCCAGCTGAGGCCTGCTGAGCGGGCCAAGAAGGTGGAGGACATGATGAAAAAGCTGTGGGGAGACCGGTGAGTGCTGGAGATACAGCTAAAGTGTCTGGGGTCTTCTGACCCCGGTCTCCCCAGATTCCCCTAACTCAGGGATTCTCTTGACAGGTACTTTGATCCATCCAATGGCAAATTCAGCAAGTCGGCCACTAGCCCTGATGGCAAGAAACTGCCAAGGACATTCTGCCAGCTCATCCTGGACCCCATCTTCAAGGTGAGCTGAGCTGGCTTGTGCTTGATGGATGTGCATCCCCTGTATTGTCTTTGGGCTTCCTGGGAATCCAGTCTGCTGCAGCAAGATGCCATGGGGCTGGGCAGGGCCAGGCCTCAAGGCAGCTCCTGGGGTGAGGGGGAAGGCAGCACTAGGGTCTGGAGGCCCTCGGGGTTCTCAGCCCTGATTTTATTAGTCTCCCAGGCCCCTGGGTGTAAGGTGGGATGAGATAGGAAGGTCTGGGCTTTGCAAGCTGGGGAGTTTTAACTGATTGTAAGTTAAAGTGTGCTCAAGTTCTGTAAGTATTTTTTTCTTCCTTAGATTTTTCAATGACTTGTTTAAGTGGGTCAGGCCTTTGATGGTGAGGAGTTTTGCAGCCTTACCGTTACTCTGTCTGTGGCCTTAAGCTCCTTAGCAAGAAGCAGGCTTCCCAATATGTTCCCAAACCCACTTTGCCACCTCTGGTTGTTAGGTGTTTGACGCGATCATGAATTTCAAGAAAGAGGAGACGGCAAAACTGATTGAAAAACTAGACATCAAGTTGGACAGTGAGGATAAAGACAAAGAAGGCAAACCGCTTCTGAAGGTGAGTGGAGGGTCCATTTCAGGAGTCCCCACCAGAGCTCCGGGTGCTTGTGGGGGCTAGAGGGTGGGCCGCCAGCCCTTCTCCCTTGTGGGCTTGGGCCTTGGTTCTTAGAAAGTATCACCAGCAGGGGTGGGCAGGAGCACTCGGGTGTTAGTACTGCTCTTTGAGAATCACCTTGGGGAGCACGTGGTTCTTCCTCCTGAGCCTCACGATGCCTCCTTTAGGCTGTGATGCGCCGCTGGCTGCCCGCTGGGGATGCCCTGCTGCAGATGATTACCATCCACCTGCCCTCCCCTGTGACGGCCCAGAAGTACCGCTGCGAGCTTCTGTATGAGGGGCCCCCGGATGATGAGGCAGCCATGGGTATGTGGGGTGTGCCTGCACCCAGGGGTAGAACACTGGGCAGAGCCTCGGGTCTCAGGATGCTGGAAAGCTGAGCTGCAGGGAGTCACGATGTCCCCTTTGGGGGTCCCTTTCTTGCTCCTCAGGCATTAAAAGCTGTGACCCCAAAGGCCCTCTTATGATGTACATTTCCAAAATGGTGCCGACCTCCGACAAAGGCCGGTTCTACGCCTTCGGCCGGGTCTTCTCAGGGCTGGTGTCCACTGGCCTGAAGGTCAGGATCATGGGGCCCAACTACACGCCCGGGAAGAAGGAGGACCTGTACTTGAAGCCGATCCAGAGGTGAGAGCTCAGAGGGGCGAGGGTGCTTGGTAGCACCTGTGAGCTGAGACTGCTTCCTCTGCCTCCCCCGCCTCAGCCAGCCTGCCTTCAGTTTAGCTCCTCAGGGTTCTGGCTGTATACTGGGTGCCACTTGGTTTCCCTGTGTGCTCACATCTGACCTAGGCCGGGGTGTGGAGTTCTGTACGTGGCCCGCAGGGATGAGCTCTGTCTCACTCCCAGTTCCTGCAGCTCTGTGACCCCTGGGTAGTGAACGAGGCTCTGCTTTACGCAGTCCGTGTCACCAGTGATTTCCCCTAGACAGTCAATATTCACGGCTTGGGGGTGGGGTGGCACTGCTCCTCCAGACGAGTGACAACCGCAGACGAAGGAAGCTTTGGTCATTTGGGGATCTGGCTGGCGCCTGGTGCTGCTGGTTGACACCTTGTGTCTCCCCTAGGACGATCCTGATGATGGGCCGCTACGTGGAGCCCATCGAGGATGTGCCATGTGGAAACATCGTGGGGCTGGTGGGTGTGGACCAGTTCCTGGTGAAGACAGGCACCATCACCACTTTCGAGCATGCCCACAACATGCGGGTGATGAAGTTCAGCGTGAGCCCTGTCGTGAGGGTTGCCGTAGAGGCCAAGAACCCAGCTGACCTGCCCAAGCTGGTGGAGGGCCTGAAGCGACTAGCTAAGTCGGACCCCATGGTGCAGGTGGGTGGCCCCTGACCAGAGGCAGTCCATGCAGGGGTGACTGGTTGGCTATGTGGTATGGCTGAGCAGGAAAGATCCTGGTGGCTGCTCATGAAAGTAGAGATTTCCAACTGTTTGGAAAATCAGCTGTGCTGGGCACACCAACCCTGGCAGAGCTGCTGCCTGGTTATGTAGATGGTGGTTTCCTACCCAGGATCCCAGTCCTCTCTCATAGGCTGCTTAAGGTGTCTAGAGTGGTCGAGCACTAGAAGGCCAAAGCTGAAAACCAGCTGAAGGGCCCTGGCACCTTCCCCAAAAAAACCCACTTTGGGAGTCTCCAGCTGGGTGGAAGCTTGGATCCGGCTTTCCACCTGTTCCCTAGAATCCCTTGGGTTCCCCGAATCTGTCCTGGGGTTTGTGCACAGGGGGTGACTCTTGGGGCCTTTTCAGTGCATCATTGAGGAGTCTGGAGAGCACATCATCGCGGGGGCTGGCGAGCTGCACCTGGAGATCTGCCTGAAGGACCTGGAGGAGGACCATGCCTGCATTCCCATTAAGGTGAGGCCTGGCGGGGTTGGATGGCTGGAGGCCCAAGGTTCTCAGGAGGAAGAGGGCAGAGAGCACAGACCAGGATCCCGGCTGATTGGGGCACTCCCTCCTCCCTCTGTGCTCATTCCTGCCAGTAATATGTACTGTTGGTGATAGCAGTGGCTCAGATTTCTCTCCAAGGCTGGGTGGGAGGGGCCTGCTTCTTAGAGACAAGTTCTAGAAGTTTCTGAAGGGTGCAGACGTTGAAGTTCCAGCCCCAGCCCCGTACCTGACTGGTGTGCTCTGATTTGTGTTCTCTGCTTTTTCAGGGAACTGAGCTGTCCGTCTTTGTGTTTAACCAGTGGGCATCCTCTGTGTGAAGCAGATAGCTGCACACCTCATGCTTAGACTGGAGTGAGACGTGCATGGCTCTGCCATCAGATCAGATGTGTTCTGGTTCCTGGGCGCTCGTTAGGAAGGTCTTCTGTTCAGATGACTCCTGGGTGCCTCTGCTGCCTATGGGCAGGCCTGACCTTTATACTCCTTTTGCAGAAATCGGACCCAGTTGTCTCGTACCGTGAGACTGTCAGTGAGGAGTCAAACGTACTCTGCCTGTCCAAGTCCCCCAACAAGCACAACCGGCTGTACATGAAGGCCCGGCCCTTCCCGGACGGCCTGGCTGAGGACATCGACAAGGGCGAGGTGTCTGCCCGCCAGGAGCTCAAGCAGCGGGCCCGCTACCTGGCCGAGAAGTACGAGTGGGACGTGGCTGAGGCCCGCAAGATCTGGTGCTTTGGCCCTGATGGCACCGGCCCCAACATCCTCACTGACATCACCAAGGGTGTGCAGTACCTCAATGAGATCAAGGACAGCGTGGTGGCCGGCTTCCAGTGGGCTACCAAGGAGGTGAGGGGCTGCTCAGGCAGTGCACCGGTGGGTCTCAGCAGGGTGCTCTCCCGTGGGAATCTCCAGATAACCTGTGCTTGATTCCCTGTTGAAGTGGGGGGATGGTCCTGTCCCCTGGAAGGGGACCTAGGGAGGCCGAGTTAGGCAAGACCCACTTGGTCCCTGTGGGTGGAGACCTGGAGGAGTTGGCACAGAGCTGTGTGGCTGAGCTGTTCTTCGGGGCTGCAGTGGAGGCAGGTTCTTGATGGTGGTCTCTGCTCCCTTTTTCTGTAGGGGGCGCTGTGCGAGGAGAACATGCGGGGCGTGCGCTTCGACGTCCACGACGTGACATTGCACGCAGACGCCATCCACCGCGGGGGTGGCCAGATCATCCCCACGGCCCGGCGCTGCCTCTACGCCAGCGTGCTGACCGCCCAGCCCCGGCTCATGGAGCCCATCTACCTTGTGGAGATCCAGGTAGGGAGGCCTGGCTGGCTGGCTCCTCTTCCCGGGCCCATCCTGCCCAAGAGCTGCTGACAGCTTTTCTTTGCCTGACAGTGTCCGGAACAAGTAGTTGGTGGCATCTACGGTGTCCTGAACAGGAAGCGGGGCCACGTCTTTGAGGAGTCCCAGGTGGCTGGCACCCCCATGTTTGTTGTGAAGGCCTACCTGCCTGTCAATGAGTCGTTTGGTGAGTGCCAGCCTGGTGTGGCCCTCAGATACCCACTGCTCACCGTTGTCAGAGTGGAGCCCAGCAGAGCCCACCTGGTCTAGGACAGCTCCACTTAGGTCCTCACACGGGGCCCGGGCTGGGTCTGATGGGAGCTGTTGACATAATCTGCTAACTGGTGCTTTCTGCTCTGTCTTATTTGGGAGGTGGGAGCAGCATAGTTGAGGTGACCTTTTTCTCACATGGGTTCAGGAATTAGAGGGGAGGGTCCTTGGGTCTGTAAATTGAAGAGCAAGGCCTGCAGAGCAGCTGTGCTTTATCCCGGGTTCATCCGGAGAAGGAGCCAGTGGAGACCAGATGCCCAAAAAGGGCAGCACTCCCTCACTTGGTCATCAGTCTTTGAGGGAGTTTTGGGGTTGTGTGCTTAACATCTGACACAGCCCAGGTTGGCTTGGCTCTGATCCTCTGGCGTGGGCCCGTGTCCCCGCCTTCCCCTCTGGAGCTGCTAAGGGGCTGTGAAGCACCACG